TTGACTGGAAGCGTCACCTGACAGTTCTCAAGTAATGACTGACATTCTGTGCAGTGAAAGTTACACAGAATTTACATCAGCCAACTCGCAACTCCAGTTCTGGACAGGCTGATGGCATGACTATAATGCAGGTGATGTTATACATCTGGGAACTAAGGAGTTAATCTCTGTATGAGCAGCTTTTCAAAATGCAGCACGTATAGACTACAGTCACTGAAGTGGTGATGACGATTGGAGTAAAACTTTAAAAGGACACTATAGTCATCAAAACAATGTTAGCTTAATAAAGCAGTTTTGGTGTATAGATCATGCCTTTGTAGTCTCACTGCTCAATTATCTTCCATTTAGGTGCTAACAAACTTTGTTTATGCAGCTCTAGTCACTCCTCCTTACATGTGACTTACACAGCCTTCCTAAACACTTCCTGTAAGGTAAGATCTAATGTTTACATTTTGTTATTGTAAATTCTGATTAAAGTACCACTCCACACCCCAAAAGCACTTCAGCTTGCTGAAGTGCTTTATGGGTGAGGAGTAGCCTAGTTCAAACCCGGTTTATAAAAGTGCTGATTTGTATGAGAAATCAGCACTTTTATGAATTTGCTAGGGAACACCTGTGGTAAATCAAACAACCAGGGAGGATTCCTTCCTACTTCCTTTAGCTCCCTTGAGCTAGCGGAAGTGTCAGGCACCCTCCACTTGACCGTGCCTGCCTCCTCACTCACCAGTTCCTCTGCTTCAGACCTCAGTACAGACGTGTATGCGCACGCATGAGCCGACGCGCACACACGTATCTGCGAGGGCGCGTGAGCACCGGTCTGTACACATGCATGCAGCTGTGTGTGTGTGCACTAGCCCGTGTGCGCAATTATCTGTGCACCAATTTGGGGGCTTCTCAATGAGAAGCCTCTGATTGGTTAGTTTCCTTCCGGGGAAAAAAGGGAAGGGCTTGCTAAGGCTGCAGTTCACAATATCTAGCAGTTAGCATATACCCCCAATGAATACATGCATGGAAATTCTTGCATGTATTCATGGGGGGTATATCTACTAAACAGTGATTTATTTATTTTCCCTCATGTGAGAAGTGGAGTAGTTCTTTAAGTTAAGATTTCTTATCTTCTGTTCTGTTAATAGCTTGCTAGATCTTACAGGAGCCTCCTGTGTGCAACTAAAGTTCAATTTACGGAGCAGGTGATACAAAAGTAAGTTACATCTGATTGAAAATGAATCCATTTTGTTTTCATGCAGGCTGTATCAGTCACTGCCAGGGGAGGTGTATCAGTCCCTGCCAGGGGCTGCATAAACAGGAACAAAAGTGATTTAACTCCTAAATGGCAGAGAATTGAGCAGTGAAACGCCAGAGGCATGATCTATACACAAAAAACACTTAATTTATCTAAAGTTGTTTTTGTGACTATAGTGTCCCTTTAACCCCTTAAGACTGAGCCAAATGTACACGTTGTGATCAAAACAAAACATAAACAAAAACTTGAATTTGCGCTATATGTCTGTTCAGGCGTAATTCGCCTCTTTCATATTATGTGCACCCACACTTATATATCATTTTATTCAGGGGAAACAGGGATTTCTTTTAACATCAAATATTTAGGTATGAAACATAATTTAATATGAATAAAATATAAAAAAATGGGAGAAAATAAGAATTTAAAAAAAAAACATTTAGTTCTATGTGACATTCTAACTGTGAATGTCATAACACGGTTTACTTTTACTGCAATAAAATACACATATTTGTATTCAGCGATGTCTCACATGTAAAACAGTAACCCCTATGTACAGGTTTTATGATGTTTTGGGAAGTTACAGGGTCAAATATAGCATGTTACATTTTTCTGTTTTTTCACATTGAAATTTTCCAGATTGGTTAAATTACCTTTGAGACCATATAGTAGTCCAGAAATGAGAATAACCCCCATGATGGCATAACATCTGCAAAAGTAGACAACCCAAGATATTGCAAATGGGGTATGTCCAGTATTTTTTAGTAGCCACTTAGTCACAAACACTGGTCAAAGTTAGTGTTAATATTTGTTTGTGTGTGAAAAATGCAAAAAACTAATTTGAATGCCAATTTTGGCCAGTGTTTGTGACTAAGTGGCTACTAAAAAAGACTGGACATACCCCATTTGCAATACCTTGGGTTGTCTACTCTTGCAAATGGTATGCCATAATGGGGGTAATTATTATTCCTGGGCTACCATATGGTCTCAAAGGCAACGTAACCAATCTGGCGGATTTTCATGTTAAAAAACTGAAACGCAATCCTTATATTTGACTCTGTAACTTTTGAAAACACCATAAAACATGTACATGAGGGGCACTGTAATACTCAGGAGACTTCGCTGAATACAAATATTAATGTTTCAAAACAGTAAAATGTATCACAACAATTATATTGTTCATGTAAGTGCCATTTGTGTGTGAAAAATGCAAAAACTGTCACTTTCACTGACGATATCGTTGTAATACATTTTACTGTTTTGAAACACTAATATTTGTATTTAGCGAAGTCTTCCGAGTAAAACAGTACCCCCCATGTACAGGTTTTATGGTGTCTTGGAAAGTTACAGGGTTAGTGCTAGCAAATTAAATTCCCTGGACTTTTGGCCTGGGTTGTCAGGCAGGTCCCGCAAATTGTAATGAATAAAATTACCTAATTATGTAAAATTATTACATAAATATCTATGTAGAATTATTATATATATATACATGTGTAGATATATGTATATAATTTTTTTCAATTATTTTTATTTATATATAGGTATACATATAGTGATATATACGTATATACTTATGTATATAGATATATATATATATATATATATACATATATATATATATATATAATTTCATTCTACGTGTATTTTGATATCAATATATATATATATATATATATATATATATATATAATCAATGAAGGAGCACTCCAAGGGATTTGTCAAACTTATTTATAATCCGGTGTTGAAAAAATCAACCATCAACGTTTCGACCCAATAGGGTCTTTATCAAGATAACAACAACCTCAAATTAATGTGTATATATACAGAAATACAAATGAATCTAACTTACCCCACCTGAGAAGTGAAGCCCGCTCACCAAGTGCCGCCGAGTAGTGCGCATGCGTAGTGACGTCACCGGAACGGTGCGTCATGACGTGTGTGCGTACGTGCGTGATAACGTGATCATGTGATCCCATGGACCGCAAGCGTGTCCATGGAAACCTGAATCAATAAAAACAAAGCAAAAGGAAAGATAGGAAACTACAGACCGGAAGAGTCATCAATGTTAATGAGCCACAATTGAAATAAGTAAATAAATAAATACACAGAGTGTAGCTAGGAGAAAAAACGTGAAGCAAAGAGTGAGAAAATAATAAAAAATTTAAAAGAAGAATGTGTAGAGAAAAAGTGAAAAAAATGAAAAAAATGAAAAAACACAAATAAGAGCCTCGAAAAAGAGACAAAAACGTGATGTGAGAAAAAGAAAGAGAAAAGTGAAGTGTATGAATAGACATATACATCTGAAAATAGTGAAAGAAGAATAGAGAAGAGATAAGACCTAGTACACCTCAGAATCCTAAACACATGTGATCCAATAATATGAAATGCATATATGATAGAGACAAATACCGGTCATACTTCCAAGTGTACATCAGATACAGCATAATATTACTAATAAACATGCCTATGTATGTTTTCCTGCACATACAACAGTAAATAAACTTCACAAATTACATAATAATAATAAGGAAAAATGCAGAGGCCGAAAATGTACATATACATATATATATATATATATAAGGCCTAAAAAGAAAAAGAAATAAAAAATAAAAAATAGACTACCGTCTCTCCAAAAATGAGTTAAATGAAACATATTCGTTCAATCCTTTGGGATGCAACGTGTCCAATTGTTTAATCCAGAAGGTCTCCCTTTGAAGTAATAACTTTGACCGGTCACCTCCCCTGGTTGGAATAGGCATGACATCTATAGCAATAAACTTAAGCATGGGTAATCTGTGGTTAAATGCGAGGAAGTGTTTAGCCACAGGTTTGTCCGTTTTCCCATCTCTAAAAGCGGTCATAATAGCTGATCGATGCCCTCTGATCCTATCACGAAGGGTTAAATCCGTCTTACCCACATAAAAAAGACCACAGGGACAGGAGATTAAATAGACCACGTGATCAGTTAGACAGGTGATATAGTGTCGAATCTTATATCTTTTGCCCGAATGTGGATGTACAAAGGAAGAGCCAGTAAGCATATGACCACAAGTGACACATCCAGTACAACGAAAACAACCCATTTTGTTGGTTTTAGTTGGAGCCAATATTTCTCTAGGGAGGTCTGTTTTCATCAGAAAGTCTCTCAAATTTCTATTCCTAGTGTATGATATCCGAGGGGGATTGGAGAAGACCTTACTAAGGGTTTTATCAGTGGACAAAATCTCCCATCGTCTCCTAATATTCTTGGAGATATCCATACTTGCTGAATGAAACTTCATGGGAATAGTGATACGTGGTGAACTTAACCGTCTTGTCCCCTTCTCAAAAATTTCAAAAGCTCTAGTTAGAGTTTTATCCAGAATATATTTCGGGTAACCCCTCTCAAGAAAAGATTGACGCATAGCGTTCAATTGTAAATCCCGATTATTGATCTCCGAGTTATTTCTGAGTACCCTCAGAAATTGTGAGATAGGTAGAGAATTCTTAAGGGCTGAAGGATGAAAACTAGTATAATGTAAAAGTGTATTGCGATCGGAGGGTTTCTTATACAAACTATAGCAAATCCGATCCATGCATCTATATATCTCCACATCTAAAAATTGTATTCTGTCAAAACTCCAATTCAAGCTGAGTTGTATCGGGGATTCATCCGTATTAATGGCCTTAACCATGGAGTGTAATTCCTCCTCAGAGCCGGACCAAATGATGAAAATATCATCCACAAATCTATGGTAAGAAATAATGTGCGTATTGAATTTCTCTAGTATGCATAAACGTTCAAACATGTACATGTAGCAATTGGCATATGATGGTGCTATAGCCGATCCCATGGCAGTCCCCCTGAGTTGGACATAAAAATTCTTCTCAAATCTAAAATAATTGTGGTGTAACAGTTTGGGATTTCTGTTACACCACAATTATTTTAGATTTGAGAAGAATTTTTATGTCCAACTCAGGGGGACTGCCATGGGATCGGCTATAGCACCATCATATGCCAATTGCTACATGTACATGTTTGAACGTTTATGCATACTAGAGAAATTCAATACGCACATTATTTCTTACCATAGATTTGTGGATGATATTTTCATCATTTGGTCCGGCTCTGAGGAGGAATTACACTCCATGGTTAAGGCCATTAATACGGATGAATCCCCGATACAACTCAGCTTGAATTGGAGTTTTGACAGAATACAATTTTTAGATGTGGAGATATATAGATGCATGGATCGGATTTGCTATAGTTTGTATAAGAAACCCTCCGATCGCAATACACTTTTACATTATACTAGTTTTCATCCTTCAGCCCTTAAGAATTCTCTACCTATCTCACAATTTCTGAGGGTACTCAGAAATAACTCGGAGATCAATAATCGGGATTTACAATTGAACGCTATGCGTCAATCTTTTCTTGAGAGGGGTTACCCGAAATATATTCTGGATAAAACTCTAACTAGAGCTTTTGAAATTTTTGAGAAGGGGACAAGACGGTTAAGTTCACCACGTATCACTATTCCCATGAAGTTTCATTCAGCAAGTATGGATATCTCCAAGAATATTAGGAGACGATGGGAGATTTTGTCCACTGATAAAACCCTTAGTAAGGTCTTCTCCAATCCCCCTCGGATATCATACACTAGGAATAGAAATTTGAGAGACTTTCTGATGAAAACAGACCTCCCTAGAGAAATATTGGCTCCAACTAAAACCAACAAAATGGGTTGTTTTCGTTGTACTGGATGTGTCACTTGTGGTCATATGCTTACTGGCTCTTCCTTTGTACATCCACATTCGGGCAAAAGATATAAGATTCGACACTATATCACCTGTCTAACTGATCACGTGGTCTATTTAATCTCCTGTCCCTGTGGTCTTTTTTATGTGGGTAAGACGGATTTAACCCTTCGTGATAGGATCAGAGGGCATCGATCAGCTATTATGACCGCTTTTAGAGATGGGAAAACGGACAAACCTGTGGCTAAACACTTCCTCGCATTTAACCACAGATTACCCATGCTTAAGTTTATTGCTATAGATGTCATGCCTATTCCAACCAGGGGAGGTGACCGGTCAAAGTTATTACTTCAAAGGGAGACCTTCTGGATTAAACAATTGGACACGTTGCATCCCAAAGGATTGAACGAATATGTTTCATTTAACTCATTTTTGGAGAGACGGTAGTCTATTTTTTATTTTTTATTTTTTATTTCTTTTTCTTTTTAGGCCTTATATATATATATATATATGTATATGTACATTTTCGGCCTCTGCATTTTTCCTTATTATTATTATGTAATTTGTGAAGTTTATTTACTGTTGTATGTGCAGGAAAACATACATAGGCATGTTTATTAGTAATATTATGCTGTATCTGATGTACACTTGGAAGTATGACCGGTATTTGTCTCTATCATATATGCATTTCATATTATTGGATCACATGTGTTTAGGATTCTGAGGTGTACTAGGTCTTATCTCTTCTCTATTCTTCTTTCACTATTTTCAGATGTATATGTCTATTCATACACTTCACTTTTCTCTTTCTTTTTCTCACATCACGTTTTTGTCTCTTTTTCGAGGCTCTTATTTGTGTTTTTTCATTTTTTTCATTTTTTTCACTTTTTCTCTACACATTCTTCTTTTAAATTTTTTATTATTTTCTCACTCTTTGCTTCACGTTTTTTCTCCTAGCTACACTCTGTGTATTTATTTATTTACTTATTTCAATTGTGGCTCATTAACATTGATGACTCTTCCGGTCTGTAGTTTCCTATCTTTCCTTTTGCTTTGTTTTTATTGATTCAGGTTTCCATGGACACGCTTGCGGTCCATGGGATCACATGATCACGTTATCACGCACGTACGCACACACGTCATGACGCACCGTTCCGGTGACGTCACTACGCATGCGCACTACTCGGCGGCACTTGGTGAGCGGGCTTCACTTCTCAGGTGGGGTAAGTTAGATTCATTTGTATTTCTGTATATATACACATTAATTTGAGGTTGTTGTTATCTTGATAAAGACCCTATTGGGTCGAAACGTTGATGGTTGATTTTTTCAACACCGGATTATAAATAAGTTTGACAAATCCCTTGGAGTGCTCCTTCATTGATTATACATACCGAGGCTTGGCAGCACCCGGGTAATTTCTGCACATTTTGGATTTAAAGGAAGAGTGCCAGAGTTTGCTTTCTTATATATATATATATATATTAATTTTAAAATACTGTTAGAACAAATTACATATATATATATATATATATATATATATTATTTTGTTTTGGGTTTTTTTAATGTATTTTCATTATTGTCTGTCTCAGAAAGATATTTGAATATCAACAAGTACAAAGAGATATACAAATACAGACTTGTACAATACATATTACATTACATATTCATAAAGCTAAACATCACAACATGTGCTTTATCATAACCCCCCCCACCCCCCAAAGGAGAAAAAAAAAACATGCAGTCAACTCTTAATTAACAGTGAAGAGCAACTAGAGTTATTCCATTTACTAAAGTGTAGGAAATTTGAAAGTCCAGGGAGACCATAGTTCAGTCAGATTCCTACTATGGGGATTAAAAATGTAATTAATTTCCATCCTGTGCTGGAACCCTATTTGTTCCAATATCTGGTTCCAAGCCGGAGGTGTACAAGATTTCCATGCCCTAGCGATATTGATTTTAATTGCAAATAAAATATGAGTCAAAAGATATATTTGATTCTTATCTTGTATAGGAAAATCAATATTATACAGAAACAGTTGGGGACTAATTTCTATGGTATCCTTAAATATAAGATTTAATAGGTCCATCAGTTGTACTTTAATAATATTAAGCACCGGACAGTCCCACCAAATATGGTACCTTCTTCCTTCCCACATCTCCAACATTCCTTCGAATGAATTGGTGATAATTTGTGGAGTCTAGCCGGTACCAGATACCATCTATATATTTGTTTAAAGTGGGTTTCAACCAAAGATACATTATGAATGCTCTTCTTTACCCACAGGGTGGCTTTAGTCCACTCTGTTAGGGAGAAGGATTTCCCGATTTCTGTCCCACTTACTAAACGATGATACATATTTTTTTTTTTTTTACATATTTACAGATTTATTTATTTTATATATATATATATATATAATGATAAGTATATATATAATCAATATCACTCTACGTGTATTTTGATATTAATATATATTTATAATTATATATATTGAAATTAAAATACACTTAGACAGTGTATGTGTATGTATGTATATGTATATATATATATATATATATATATATATATATGATCTACGTATATATAATTTGATTTTACACTGTTTTAACATTTATTTATTTTCAGGCAGCAGGTGGAGTACCTGTCATTCCGTCCATGTGATCGTGAGGTCCTCGCAAGGATCACATAGCCCAGGAGGGCCAAAACTGATGGAGGGGGACTCCCCACACCGTGACCTGGTAAGTACCCTGGACGGCAGGGACATGCTATGCCGCCCGCCGGCATTTAGAGCCGGTTCCCTAAGGACGGCATATTATTTTCAAACCATTAAGACTTATGTAATAGGTTCACTGCCTTACTAATCTAAAAACCAGTATGCCCTTATATTTTCCATATACACTAATAATAAAGTAGTACCTCCTACCGTGTTATCAATTCATACATTGTTGAGATGCAGCGTGGCTCCTATCCATCAGAGTGCTGAAATCTGTAAACACATTGAGAGACTTGCTCTGTCCAATATACATGATCACAGTAACTATTGATTGTCAGCAGTTGATTCTTGTCCAGTGTTTCAGAAAGAAAGTGTGCTGTTTCCTGGCTCATTCTCGCAGTAGGGACTTTGTAGAAGCATCTCTCGCAGCCTGCCACTTATTGATCATAGTTTTTGCAATCAGACAAGCAGTAAACTGAGAAACAGCATGTGCTGGAACACGGCAGATTCTCTAATTTCAATAGCTCTTCACTCTAACACAGAATCCTTCAGCTTGCAAACAAGGGTATTTCAAGTACCCAGAATAGTTTGGCTGTAAAATTGCTAGTCTTACAAAACACTAAAACCAACTCTACTCTGATGACCGCAGGGGTTATTAAGTTTTCAGAGTCTTACAAAAACGGAGCAAATGTATATATGCTTACTCAGGAACATCACTCTGCTACGACATTTTTGTAGGCCACATATTCATGCTGAGAACCTCCTGTCCCACTTCATCTCAACTCTACAGACCACAATAGTACGCTAAAATAACTGGCATTTTCATGGAACAAGCTTTGTGACATGGTGCATTATCAATCTAGAAAAATGTAACTGAAAATGAGAAAACTGTGGTCAAAGAGCTTTTTAAGGCCTCCAATAATGTCTAGTTCTAGTTACACTGTCTCCAACAACAGTCAGTCCCATTGACTACCACAATTGTAGTTATTGTATCTGCAGCATGTTGAAGCATTAAAGGAATACTCCGAGCACCATAACCACTACAATATAGTGCTTGTCTCTCCCTCTCCTATTACGGTATTGAGAGCTGGAAAATCCTGTTAGCTAATGGAGCAGGAGTGGTGCCCTCCTCCCCCACTCCCACCCTCCCTCCGCAGTCTCTGTTGCAAACCACTAGTAAATAGTTTGACTACTTACATGGAAGGGGAAGGACATCATTGTTGTGGCGATGATATCTGCAGTGTTCCTTTAATTGTGATTCATAGGACCCGTACTGTTATTGATCAAGGTGTTTTAACTAACACGTTTGATGTTCAGAGTATTTTGCATTTAGAGGGGTCTTCTGTTCATTGATATTGTAAAGAACAGTTCATTCATTATTTATGGGCCTTGTGTTGCTGTGAGAGGTCTGACTATTCTTTTCTGAACCCTGTCATTAATAAATAGTTTTTGTGAGATCTGCTGCTCACTTGATGTTATTTGATTATTGCACCATTCTCTAAAAATGTAAAGGCTGAGATCAGTTGTTTGTCAAACATGTTAATACCATCATCTCATATTGACTTAGCTCACACATTTTATCCATGACTGCCA